GAACCTCCATACCATTTTCCATAGAGGCTGCACCATTTTTCAGTCCCACCAACAATGTACGGGAGTTCCTTTTTCTCTGCAATCTCACCAGCATTTATCGTTCACAGTCTTTTGGAGATTAGCTATCCTAACTGGGGTGAGATGGTATCTCTGTGTGGTTTTGATTTGCATTTCCCAGATGCTGAGTGATGTTGAGCATTTTTTCATATGTATGTTGGCCATTCATATATCTTCCTTTGAGAAATGCCTACTTAGCTCTTTTGCCCATATTTTAATTGGGTTGCTTGTTTTTTCTCTACCCTAGCTCTTTTCTCAAATGATCTCTTCTGCCCCATTCTTCTCTCTTGTTTATTTTGCCCCTATCACTTGTCACCACTGAATAAGCTGTAAATTTTCCATATTTATGTTGCTTATTGTCTGTCTCTCAAAGAACATAAACTCCATGAGAGATTTGTTTTTGTTTTTCTACTGCTGTAACTGCAATGCCGAGAACAGTACTAGGCACAAAGTAGAAGCTCAATATATGTTTACAGAGAGTCCATCAGTGCTCATGCCACAATAGGAATGACCACAACATTCTCCCTCATCCCACTGAAAGAGAAGAGTGAGCCATTCACCAGCCATTCTAGAAAGCCAGAAATTGCTGTGGATCTCTGTTTTGTCCTCTCTCTAACCACAAGGACCTGCCAAGGTTTACCCCATTAGCACAACAATATGGGGGGGGGATATTTGACAAGTAGGGAGGGGAGTTTTCAAAAGCTGTAGGATAGGGATATCAAGTCAAATAAAAGTTGGTAAAAAACAGTCTATAAAGCAGTCTGAAGCCATTTTACTAGGAGGAGCATCTGTGCTTCTTACATTAAATTCACAACCTCTGCTGCAGATCAGACAGTAACTAAGGCAGCATCAGTCTTATGGGGCCTATCAGAAAACACACTATTCTAAAGAGCAGGAGTGTTCAGTCAGACTGCAGAGAGCATCCCATGGGACTTCTATGGCCATTAATAAAATGAATGGTTTTGGGTTATTACTGAAATACAATATTTCTGCAAGGGACCTTTAAGGTTTGTTTGTTTGATATAATTTACTGATTCCTATGAATCCACTGACAGAGACTAATTACAGTCTTCCTCCCAAATCAAAAGCTGGGTGCATTTGTGGGACCAGTGGGACAGGAAGAAAGTGCAGCAGCTTCTGTGGGATGATTTGCCAAAATTACAGTGCAGAATTACATACACAAACAGAAACAAAATAAAGTCTTGAGAAACATAAAAATGAATGAACATGAACAGAATTCAGAGGTAGAAAACGTCCCCTTAGAATACTAGTAGGGTCACTCACTTTTCAAAAGTGTTTAGCAAGAAAATATCTTATTTAGCCCTGTTTCACTATGAGGAATGATAACACTAAGCTTAATTTATAAGAACAAACCAAGGAACAAAGCTATGACTTTACAAAACTACTTATTGCGATCAGGAAAATCAGCACAATCACAAATAAAACACTGGCATTCTCAGTCCTGCTATAAGAATAAAACCACTAGATACTGCCAGTAACTCTCTCACCTTGTAGCAGAAATACATTAAAACTGGTAACACTCAAAAAAATTATTCAGGGAAATACATATTGTTTAAAAACAAAAAAATCAAAGAACTGTATACTTTTCTTAGTGTGCTAACCTTTTCGAATCAAAACTGTTTGATGATAAATTTTTGTTAAGTGGTAAAAACTGAGAAGAAAATTGTATCTTTTATTAAATTTAATTTTATTAATATACAATGTAGTTGATTTTCATGTCTCTTTACAAATTCCTCCCTTCCCACAGCCCACTCCCACCCACCAACATCATATCTGTTCACTTGTCTTAACGAGTTCAAGGAATTGTGATTTTTGTGTCTTCTTCCCCACCCCACCCCCATTTGTTGTGTATTTATTTATTTATTTATTTGTAGCTCCCACAAATAAGTGAGAACATGTGGTATTTTTCTTTCTGTGCCTGACTTATTTCACTTAACTGCTGGGAATATAGCCACAGGAATGGAAATCATCATGTTGAAGGGTTACCTGCACTCCCATGTTTATTGCGGTGCTATTTACAATAGCCAAGAGTTGGAAACAGCCCAAATGTCCATCATCAGATGAGTGGATAAGGAAACTGTGGTATATCTACACAATGGAATTCTACTCTGCTATAAAAACGAATGAAATACTGCCATTCGCAGCAACATGGATGGACTTAGAAGAAAATTGTATCTTTAATGGTGGAGAATTCAATTAGTGAATTATAGAATTCTATATAACTTTTAAGAGAACAAGGCTTTATATTTTGAAATTGGTCACACTCACCTCCATTTTCCTCTCCATTGGCATTTGCCTCGGCCATTTCTGTACCATCCAATTCAGATTCACAGACTATATCCAATGTGCCATCCGCTGGGCATGACGACTCCTCTTTCTATATTATTTTCAAAAATGATGATTTATGGAAATATGTTAGCAACTGAAAACATTCAAAATACTTTTAGAATCCTAAAGTATTATCACAGTTATTTGTGAATTGGAATTTCAATATTGATTTTACTTTTTAATATAAAATCACTTCTTGAGAAAAAAAAAAAAAACAACCTGGGAAAGGCCCATTGCCATTATTGATTTGTATGATATCACCTTTTAAAATCTATACCAAAGAAAAAAAAAGTTTCATTTTGACATGTTGTTTCCATTTTTTTTTTCAATTCTACATTCTTCTTCGTGTAAAGAAATGGTTTAACAACACAGAATTTTAATCAATAAATTAAACACCCAAGTAGCTAGGAAAAAGCAACTGAAAAAACACAAGCCTTTTTGATTAACCTGTGTTATTTTCTGAAACACACAGAGTGACAAGAGCCTGAGCTTAAATTTGTGCTTTGCTAGGTATAACTTTTGGCATTTAAAAAATATATTCTCAAAGGAAATTAATTAACATTAAATATAATCCATCACTATTGCAGTGATTTATTTATAATTTATAAGAAATAATACATTGAATTTACTTGTTCCAAGTTACACAACCATTTGTAGGGCATATGCCTTTGTCTTCTGGAATTTTGAATTTTAGATGGCATTTCCCATTCTAAATGTAAAAGGGAATTCCAATAAAGTAATTCCACTAAAATAATTAAGTCTCAGTTAACTCAAGCTATTTTTAAATTTCTTTGTTTTTCTCACATACCAAGTATCATTATTAGTAAAACTTCCTTGAGATCACTGTTTGCTTTATAATTGAATACTTGATTTAAATCAGTACATTTTCAAGCAGAATGAATACGTATCTTATTTTTATAAAAGACAGAAAGGCACACAGGTATGAAGCCAGTATATCAACTGATGGTCATTAAGTCAAAGAGTTTATGGCAACTGTGATTATCTTAAACTCCTGGCTGATGATCCATGACATTCTTCCCCATAAATTTTAAAGATTCAAGAATTTTAAGGAAGCCACAACTATTTTCCATTACCATATGTTACGGAGTGAAACCACAGATATGCTTTTCTTAAAGAAAAATGTCATTGTTTATTCTTAATATAAAAAAAAATCATTTTTAAGACATCTGAAAACATTTAAAAGGCACAAGGGTCATTCTACTACCCTTCACCCAAATCTAATTTTGTTTACCTTCACATGTCTGAAAAAATGCATAATACATAGCAATAATTTAACAGACATAATATGCAGAACAATCCAACTTACTTTGAGAGCATAGAGGCCTGACTTTCCAGGGATTTTGAAGAATGTTCCATCCCCTATGCGAGTGTTAGTGTGAAGCATTGCATTCAGACAGGCTAATGGAGAGGTTCCACTAGAAAATAAAAGTGTGCAAAAATGAAGCAATGCGAGGTGCAGCTTCTGTGGAAAACTGTTCTCTGAGTATCAAGAAAAGGCCTTCTTGTAGGCCTTTTTAAAATATCCTCCCAACCCGAAAACATCTACATTACAATAACGGGTCAGTCCAGTTTCCCCAAAGTTAATCGGATGCGTCTGTCTTATAGGCTTCAGGCAAAAAGTCTCCTGATCTGAAATTACATTTTTATTCATAAAGCAACCAATACTATATTTTAAAGAAACCAAAGCCCAAACATTTACATGGTGTTATTTTACAAATAACGTCATGAAGCCTCAGTTTTTTAAATATTACAGACAACTTGATGGTTGCACTTGAATGATCAAAAAAAAAAAAAAAAAACCCAAGTTCAAGGGCAGCTCCATCCCATAGGTTGAAAAGCAACAAAAGAATAATAAGAAACCAAGGAGGAACTGATTTAAAATTATAAGTATTTAAGTTACTCACAGGACTGCATTTCTCACATGGACAAAAAAGAATGAATATCTTTGTATAAATCTCTGATACAGTTTCTACAATGATATCTTTTTTTTAGTTAGATATGCCAAATAAGTATGTGTTTGGGAATTCTGGGTAGCAATAAACATATTCTGCAGTAAAGATGCAAGTGACTGAATTATGAAATTTTTTTTAAAGAAACCAATAGCATTAAATTAATGATTTGAATATCAAAGCACATGTGTACAAACATTATTGGACAGTATTCATACATTTGGAAAGATGTTTATGAAATGTATAAAATATATATTTGTGTGTGTGTGTGTGTGTGTGTGTGTGTGTGTGTGTATTTCCTGGGGTAGATTTTAGTGTTTTCAAAAAACATTTTCTGTGTTTTGCTTGCAAACTAATATTTTTACAAGCTACAGTTTAGAGATACAATAGTTTAATTATGTTTCCATATATATTTTACTACCTAATAATACTAAAAGAGCAATATTTGGCCAAACCAATTTTGATTAGAAGCCGTTCTTCCACCCCACATGCCTCTTGGGAGTTATGGGTACTTAATCCAAAATATTCTGGGCCAAGAAGGCTGTTAAAATATCAAGCTTCCAAACTTTAAATTTCTGGAACAAAAATATAATTTTATGTTACTAAATTAGAAGTTTTCTAAAAACCAGTATTATCCCATCTCTTATTTACTATGAAAACTCACTAGTAAAACAAAAAAGTCAAGTTTGCTGAGTTGCCAGAACACACTTAAAAGCAAGACAGCATATATATGCATCATTGTCATAAAGGTTTATAAGTATTATAATAATACAAATATTCTATATTATTTTAGGAAGCAGTTTCTCTGTGCCAATACATAAATATGATTCCATTGGGTTTGACAGGAAACAAGGGATTTAATATAAATCTGGTCATAGAACAATGCAGCTGTAACACTGAAGTACACATGGTAATAATGCTGTGTGCTTATGTAATATCTTTCCTCATGAAGCTCCTACAAGCTAACAGACCTCATTTCATTATTTTCCCTCACAAAGGATTTTTGCTGCATATTGTAAGCCCGGGCGTATCTATAAAATAAAATATATTCATCTCCCCAGAAATGTTTCACCATGAATAAATTCCAGATAAATAATGCGATACACGTTATCCTGAACACTGTAAAATATATATTTTTACATTATATTCTTCAAACAAAAGCACAGAAAATTTGAAGCTGGGAATGGTTATGCCAGATTTTTGGAGCTTTAATTTAGTGGAACTGTCAGAAATACACAATTTCCACAGGGATTTGGCAAGAAGATGTTAACAGGGCAAGTAAAATAGAATTCAATACATACATTAAAATGATACAATGTAGACTTTAAAAATATAACTTCATAAAATTGTCCACCTAATGTGAAACCTCACAATACTCTTCTTGATCTTGATTGCTAAGGTCCTAATACACACAATTCCAAAAACTCAGATTTAGAATATTAAAAAATAATACAGATTTAAAGGCAACTAAGAAATACTGTACAAATATAACACCACTATAATTTACATTTTCTAAGGTACAATAAACTAAAGATAATTGTAGAAGATAAATTGGCCATTAAATAGCAGATTAATGCTATGCTTGCTGCAAATATATGTGATAAGCACCCAGTTTCACATAAATAATAAGCTCTACAGAGCACGAATATAGTACTAAATTATACTGTTTATTAATTCGATGAACTCAAGATTTACTACAGAAAAATATGTAATTCACAATCACACGGCAATACGTCTCTAAAAGTCTCAATGACTATGTAATTTACCCAAATCTTTCACAAGACAGACCTATGAAAAGTTTTTTTTTATTTCAAAACTGTACAATATTTGTACTTAGGAAGAATTAGAAAATATTTTGCAATCAAATACAAATTTTACAACTCAAATCACTCACTGACTAGTCACTTAATTTTGAGCATCTCACTTGCATTTCTTTATGGGGAAAAACACCCTATTTATTCTGGTTCATTTTATTTAAAAAAATAAAAAATTAGCATCAAGAGTTAAACACTTAAAGGTAACTGATTGATCCAATGCAAAATGTACATAGGAAAATGTATTTTAAAAATCTTTTATACAATTTACTTATTGCTATTATTCACATCATTTCAGTAAAGTCTAGAACACTTGGACTGCTTTTCCTAAAGAAATGTATGCCCTAATTAACTGCTATTAGAAGGAATAAATAAAAGTCTTACTTACATAACTTTACTTTTATATTCAGAAAAAACAGAATTAGCAAGTTCTCTCTATATTTATTTAAAACATAATGATTAACTGTGATTATGAAAAAAGATGAGGCATATATGCTTTAAAAGTCTGTGTTCTTAGCATGAACTCATGTAACATTTATCTTTAATTTATTCAAAAAATTTTCTTCATAGTTAATGCTAAGGTTAATCACCTTGGTCAGATTTAAAAGTTAAAAATTCAATAACAGAATATGTATAATGAAGTAATAAAACAATCAATGTTTTAACAAAAAATCTCTGAAATTTCAAAAGTTACTTACTTTCTAACAAGATGAATTGCAAGAATCATGATATCCCGGTTTGTATATGGAAAACAAAGAAAAAGGAAGGAAGAAAAGAAAGTTAGTTTTCCAACTTAAAAGACAATTTTGCATCTTACCATTTCAATAAATAGGACAAGGTACAGGAACACACCAAAGTCTTAGATTTGGCTGCCTATGGGGAGGTCGCGAAGAAAGAAGTGGGGCACTGGGGTAAAAGGTGACTTTGACATTCTTCCCTAATACTTCTATGATGTTTTCATTTTGTTCATAATGTACATGTATTTCCATATTATACATATCATTAGAAATAAACAAGCAGGACAATATTTGCCCCCAATGCTAACTGGACTTTTCCCTATACACCTGCCAGGGTAGATATACAGCTTATTCTACTTGTTTGTTTTCCCCCTAGACTATAGGGTTGTGGAACCCTTCTGGTTTGTTTTCATTTCCCACAACCCCTGAAGCAGAACAGGGGTGGAATTTGGAGGCAGGGGAGCAGGCATAATTTAAACTGTCTAGACATCAAAGAACCCCCAGAGACACTTTGCAGAGCCCCGGTGCTGTGTGAAATACAGAAAAAACATTGCTTTATATTATCAAATTGCTAATGGAACACATAAAATTTTACCAATAGTGAATACTTAGTGAAGGGAATGAATAGCCTATTTAAATAATTTTTTAAAACAGGAAGAATATCTGGGAAATGCAATCAAAAGACTATTTGCAGACATGACAAAGAAAATATCATAATCGTGAGCTTTCTTTATATGAAAAATAATATTGCTTTACAACACAATATTTAAGTAATCCAAATCTTAAAGTACTGTATTATATTAATGTATTTTTTACTTAATAAAAATTTTAGATGGAAGCTATTTCCTGCAAACATTTTTAAATCTCATTTTTCAAATATGGGGATACCAAAAAATTAAGCATGCACAACCTAAGTCTACAAATTAAATAAATTAAACAAGCAATTATTAAGCACCATTATTAGACAGTTACTTACTGCCATTAATATAAATTAATATAAAAAATTATATGTTCACTCTCCTTTCAAAAAAAGAATTGATAATAGCTTCTTTCAAGCATGCACAACCTAAGTCTACAAATTAAATAAATTAAACAAGCAATTATTAAGCACCATTATTAGACAGTTACTTACTGCCATTAATATATATTAATATAAAAAATTATATGTTCACTCTCCTTTCAAAAAAAGAATTGATAATAGCTTCTTTCAAGTATTTCCAGTGCTAGCTTTGAGAATATATCTTAATTACAAAGGATATATTTTTAAGAGTAAATGATGTGGGCATCTGGAGTGCAGGCAGTATTTGAGTTCTTAATACAGGATCTTTGTATTCACTTTGTGAAAACTAAATTGTTTATACTTAGGATTTTTGCACTTAACTCTATATATAATGTTACACTTCACACAAAATTGTCTTTAAAACATTAAAAAATGAATAATGTATTATTGGATTGATTTATCTATTTATTTATATATTTAATGGGCATGTCCCTACTAGAGGAGAAAAAATTATTTTTATCAGTGAATAAGGATGACTCCTAAGCACACATAGCAACACAGTGTACATCAGTTGATAAATCAGCAACCTAAATGATTAAAAAATGTCCTAGAAAATCAAGTACAAACTAACTTCACTCTTGAGAAATAGAACTGCGAGTAAGAAACTTTCTAAAATGACTGAACATAAAACCTTAAAAACTAGAGTCCTTTATACATGTTATCTGAATTATGTATGTTATATATGTATGTCATTCTATATGTTACCTGAACAAAATGTGCACCAAAAATGACCATTTGAAATTTGATTTTGAAGAACATTGTCCCAAACGCCAAAGTCCCTTTAAGAAAATTACTAATGAAAGTTTTTAAAGAGCACCGACATATGAGGAGTAACAAAGATTAGAGTGTAGAAAA